ATAATTTGAAATAATTTCACCAAATAGCACAAATAATTTGTTATTTTGCCTAAATGACGTACAGATGGTTGTATTGTGTGTAGCCTGGATATCCAGGGCCAGTGGGAGAGGGGCTGTATATGGGCAGTACAATGGCTCAGTGGTTAGCACTGCTGCCTCACAGCATCAGGGACCCAGGTTCAATTCCAGCCTCAGGCAACTGTCTGCGTGGAGTCTGCACATTCTCCCCGTGTCTGTGTGGGTTTCCTCCAGGTGCTCCAGTTTCCTTCCACAGTCCAAGTGCAGGTGAGGTGGATTGGCCATGCTAAGTTGCCCATAGTGTCCAGGGATGTGCAGGCTAGATGGATTAGCCATGGGAAATGCAGGGATAGGGTAGGGGTCTGGGTCTGGATGAAATATTCTTCAGAGAGTTGGTATGGCCTGCTTCCACACTGTAGAGATTCTATGATTCTAATCATCAGGGTCTGGGGGACCTGGGTTCTGTGCCATATGGCAGCATCAAAGTACACAGGAACAGAGGCAAATGATCCCCCTAAACACCAGGGGAAATATTCAATCACGAGGCCCCAACATATTGAATGGACAGAATCTAAAGGGGGTGCAGGAGCAGAGGGATCTGGGTGTACATGTGCATAGTTCATTGAAGGTAGCAGGACAGGCAGCGAGCACATTGAATAAAGCATACAATGTTCTTAGCTTTATTAATTGGGGGGGGGGGTGCACAAGAGGAGGAGGATTTTCTGAACAAGATACTTATTAGACCTCAGCTGGAGGTACGGTCATGGAAAGGTGTGAATGCATTGGAGAGAGAATGAAGAAGCAATTTACAAGAATGACTCCAGGAATGAGAAATTTCAGTGATGAGGATGGTTTGAAGAAGTTGGGATTGATTTCCTTGGAGAGCAGGCAGCAGAGAGGAGATTTGATCAAGATTTTCAAAATTACAAATGGGCTGGAATAGAGTGGATAGAGAGAAGTTGTTCCCCTTTGTTTAAACAAAAAAGGAATGAGAGAGCCTAGACTTAAATGGTGTAAAGACACAGCAAGGATGATATGAGAAAAACATCTTTTCACCTAATGCGTAAGTAGGGAATGGAATAAACTGCCTGGAAGTGTGATGGAGGCAGGTAGATTTGAAGATAGTAGGAACTGCCGAAGCTGGAGTCTGAGATAACAAGGTGTGGAGCTGGATGAACACAGCAGGCCAAGCAGATTTGGAGCATTTAGTAGAGCATTGTATAATTGTTTTGGATGAAAACATTGTGCAGTGACGTGAGGGAAATGCCAGGAGATTGGCACTAGGTAATGGAACAGGTACAGTTCTGATGGCCCAAATGGCCTCCTGCTGCTCCATAAGAATTCTATACCAATCACTTTGAGGAGTCTCACTGGCAATCACGGGGCTGGTTCTATCCCTGTAGGAAACCCATCAGTAGCAAACACAGTATAAAACTCAGTGTTGTGATTGGAGGATAGTGGGAAGGTATGTGGCGATGGGAAGGAGTCACAGGACCTGACAGGCATGAATTGACAGGGGCCGGTGGGTCACAGGGAGGCTGCAGGGATCACTGGTTGGGGGTGGGGTGTAGAGTTTGGAAGAAAAGGAGAAAGACAGAGAGAGAGAGAGAGAGAGAGAGCGAGAGAGCGAGAGAGCGAGAGAGCGAGAGAG